GGCCTCTAGGTAGATAATAAACAAGTGGAACATATTATGCTATGACTGCGAAATATAACTGTTTATTTCTCTGGTGTGAGATATTTTCTATAATCTTTGAAAGGAGGTGTTTTGTTTATTGAAGAATAGTTATGTCATGACCTAGCAATGAACACATGTGAGGAACACAGATATTGTCCCATTTTTATTCTACAGCATGGGTGGGTCTCAATGGGTGCAGTGGGCAGAATTATGAGATGGCTGCGAAGATTCCACCTCCTAGTGCATATATCCTGTATAATCCTAATGCCTGAGGGAATTTAGGATTGTCTTCCCCGTGATTAGATTATGATGGCACAGTTCCTTGATAAAAGGAGATTTTCTTCTGATCTAATCAGCAAGCCCTTAAAGGGACTAGGCTCTTCCTGAAGAAATAGTTTGGAAGTGTAAGAGAGGTGTGACACAGGAAGATGCTCCATTGATGGCTAAAACTATGGAGGGGATCCAGTAAGAGTGGAAAGTGGCTCCTAAAAATGAAAGCCAACAAGAAAACAAGTAATTCAATCTTTTATCCACAGGGATCAGAATTCTATGGACAAACTGAGTGAGCTTGGAAGTGGATTATTCTGTAGAGCCTGGAGATGAGAATTCGACTTCCGTGTGAGGCCGAGCAGAGAACTCATGAGGACCATGCCTGGACCTCTGCCCTACTGAACTCACAGCTAATAAGGGTATATTGTTTTAAGCCTCCAATTGGTTTTACAGCAATAGAAAACTAACAAACTAATAAAATGGTATTCTAGTTAAATGTGCTTTGGGATTTTTCTTAAAAGACCTTTTTCTTATCTCCTGTTTCCCTGCCTTTAAAGTGTTGCTCTGTTTTCCCACCATGAAGTTATTTCATTGAATAAGAAAATGCTATATTGTTAGATCAAAACCTTCTCTCATATCATATATGAGAGTTACATTTTTTTTCTCCCTCACAGTTGATTTGAGATGCAAAGATGTCTATGCATGCTTTGAGCTGGAGAATCAAACTGGAAAACACGGATTCAAGAATTAAAGCAAACAATCTGTGCATTTTGAAGTAATTCAAATGTATTTCATTCATAGCATCCTGCTTTCTTGATACACAACAACTCTGACATAACGATCGAAGGTAAAGGAGAAGTAATGTGAGCATAAGTACTTGGACATTTTAATATCTTTTACCAATAAATAACAGAATGCCGCACATCTGAATCCATGCTTTTCCTAAGAAAACCTGCCTCTACCTTCTGCTTCCTGACACTGCAGCTGGATCCTATTATAAGGATAAGACACACCATGGGGAACACGCCTAAACTTTTTAGGCTACAAAAACGAAAGTTGATCTTCATTAATTAGATGTCTAGGTTATGCAGATTGACCACTGTATTATATACAGCAGAGTGAAAGTCACTATTAAATGGCTTGTTGATAGCTCCTCCTAGGTAATTTACTAAGCCTTACTTACTGAGATAGTCTGTTAACCACAAAGGCAGGATTTGGTGTCAGGTCAAAAATCAGAACAAACTGGGACTTTGTGGTTGATGGCAGAAAAAAATATTTTACAGCAAAAGGAATGGAGAACACAATATGATGTCTTTCTGAGATTTAATCCAGGAAATATTGCATTTCCAGCAAAGCTTAACATAATGCAGGTAAGTGAAAATATCAGCAAGTCAATAATTCATAATTAAGACCCACCAGTTAAAACTCATATTCCCTACCTTTGTGAAAATTATAGAATTGGATTTAAAAAAAAAAAAAAAAGCCACTGAAATTTAGATTTACATAAATGTCAACCATGGATTCTGGAATAAGTCTGAGGATCACAAACCCTCAGCGTAATAATGGTGAGCTGTTTTAGTAAAAAGGAAGAACTCACACACACATACAAATACTCAAAAGGCCATCATGTACAAACTTCAAGGTCTGGGGAATCAGGTAAATCATGACTTAGCTTTTACCAACTTTAACCAAAGTCTTCCCAGGTGCTAAAGTCAGCACTGGAGAAAGGCTATTATAAAACCACTATGTTAAGTAATTATAGCTTTGTCTGCTTCAACTTCTTATACCATCTATATAATTATGTTGAGAGAAAACACTCCAAGCTCAAATGAAATAAATGACTTCAGTTTATGCCCACACGGACCTTGTCAAGTAGCCAATGACTTGCCCTTTCATTGTGAGTGACTAATATCAATGTTGGCTCTAAAGAAAGACACTTTTCATAATCGCCCAACAATCTGCTAAGTGAAAACATATGGATAGGCTTAGGCAAAGCCTGCCAGGGGTCTTTGCTGAATGGAAAACAGGTGCTCTCATTCTGTGCCACGTAATACCCCATTTACCCCCAAGTCCAAAGGTTATAGGACTAATAGTTGCCTTGTGGTAATCAGGGAAAGCCAAGACACTGGCCTTGGTGAAACATCTGGGACATATTTTACATACTTGCAACATATGCTTCAGGTTCAATTAAAGTGAGGCTTTGGCACATTTATTAATCTTTTTTACTTTTATCCTATAAGAGGACCCACTGACCTGACCCTACTATTATACCATATGAGAAAACAGAGAAATAATGAGAGCGAGAGGTCAGCACCTGCTCGTATGGCAAAAAATACATTTGTTTTCTCATGAAATTCCATTACGCATGACTCTATACACAAACTTTAAATAGAGGAACCAATGCATTTTTTAAAGAAGGAAATTACCCTTCTCCCACTCAGACACACTGAGAACCAAGACTTTCAAAATTTACCGCTGCTAGAGCCAGTCAAAAGATGGAAGCTGGTAAACAGAAACTTGAAGGACCTTCTCATATTTCCATTTCTTAAGAGTAAAAACTTTGTATTTCAAAATATCCACTCTAAGATTCTTTTCTCTATCATGCAAGCCCCTAAAAATTAAGCTATTATATGAGATTTTCTTTTTGTTCAGATATGATTTTTAAATATAATTGCATTATGAATAAAAAGAGAAACCTCCTATATCATTCAAATAAAGAACTGGATTTATGAAAATTAACTCACAGTCCTTTCAGATGGAAAACACACTGTTTGTTGGCATTCTGTACAGAAGAATACAGTTGAATTCACATAGTAATTTAAGCACTCCTTTCAATCAACTTTGGAAACCAGATCTAAAAACGCATTATCAAGACGCTATCAATTTTAGACCACCAAACACTGGATCATAATGATGCCACTTCGGAGATCTGCTGTTATGTCCACCATGGTGTATTCTACTTGGCATCTATGTTTTGGTAAGCTGGTTAACCAGGTGTGCTATTGGTTTCCCACAGCTAACATCCTCTCTATTAAAAAAATGACCATAAAGATGGGATTAGTGGTATAGAATACCAACAAACTGGCTATAAAATTCAGGCTGACTTCAAGCAGGACACTGAATTACTAGACTTCACTAAGGGTTTCCATTTATTAACATTTCTGGGGAAACGCCCGCTGTTGGGATGGATCTTTATGGTAGCTTTAATAATAAAGCATCAACAAGCGAGGGAAAATGGCCATAAATGGATGGCAGCTCAGTGTTTATCAGCAGAGAAATGATGATTCAGAGCTGGCATGTTGCGTTAAAATACAGGCTCTCTACAGCTCTACCACTGACCTTAACAATAAATCATATCATTTATTGCCATAAGTGTATGCTCATGTTATTTAACACTAAAAACAAGCACATAGGTGTTTTTGCAGAAATCTTTGTTAGTTTATATTTGATGATGTCACTAATGACTAAATGATGTATATAAGAAAAATTTTACATAAAAGCTTTATCAATTTTTAAAATGTTTGAAATTGCATTAGAAAGGAGAAAGTGTGTGTGTGTGTGTGTGTGTGTGTGTGTGTGTGTGTTTCCATTTTCCTGTAAGCATTAATATTAGGGGAAAAATCATTTGGGAGTTAACTAATCACTGTGAATTTTTTTTTGACATTTTCAATGCTAACTTCCAGCACACACAAGCTTAAACTAAAATATAACTATACATCTCTACTGGAACCAAAGGTCAAGGGTATAAATGAAGATACACTGTTTTTCTCATTTCTTCAAAAAAAATTTCACTGCTTTACTATAACAGAATTCAGATAGATTCTGGTGAAGGTCAAAAATCTGGTTTTAGATGCCACACAGCACAGAAATAATGAATGATAGCTTCTTTCCCTCCTCCCAATCTCACCCTAGGACTTTTTCCACTTTAGATCTTGACCTGCCCAGGCACTGTAAACCAGCATCGCTATCCTCCTTGCCACGGAAAGCCGTTCTTCCAACCCCAGCTGCTGCTGCAGTGGTGCAAGGTCATTCTAATTCCTCCCTCCAGTTGTCCTCTCTCCCCAGGGGACCACCAATCCAAGCAGTCCCAGAAACTAGCTGTTATTTACTGTGGTCACCATCCACAAGCCAACCAGCAATTGAAAAATGAGCCTCTCTGACCACACTTCCCTGACCAAGGAACCACGGGGCCATTCCAAGTCAAGTCTAAGCAGAGGGCAGTAGCACTGGGATTATTTAAATGCCCTCCGCTCACACGTGTTCCTCTGATGAGCAATTTTTCCAAAATTACAGATGACACTATCCATGTTCAGCTCATGCAGCCTGCTATTTTTTTCTCTTCTTTCTTTCCCCAAAGTGCAGCCTGATTTGTAATACTCAAGATAGGACACATTTTTGCCCTTCAAAAACAGTTGTCACTGCTGTTATCTTCACGCGAGCTATCAAGTTCCAGACAAGCTGAATTATTATTTTTTTTTGTTGTTGTTCCTAGCAGAAAAATATTTGACCCAGCTCTGGACAAAAGCGAAGAGGATTTATAGCCCTCTCTCCCTTTTTGCAACATGCGGTGGCATTGTTAGGATGATAAACAGCACTGTCCAATTTTCTGGACTTGAACACTTCAACTCCTTTTTTAACTGTCTGTGAAAACAGTGTCAGGTCTACATTTCCCCATCCCCAGGTACCCAAGTGCCGGGAAAGATAATTACCTTGTCATCTTTGTCATCTTCTTCTTCCTCGTCCTCTAGCATGTCCTCCACTACCTGCAGACAGAAACAGAAGTCGTTTTCATGCCCTTAAAAGAGAGAGTTTTGTTCTGTCATTTTGAACCTTTTGGAAATGAAAACTTTATTAACATTTGAAACAGAAGCTCAGAGAGGGAATATTTGATCTAGAGATAAGGACGAGGGAAATGTCATGCCTTTAATTGATTAAAACCAGGGCACTGAATCCCAGGCCGAGGAACCCCATTGTGTGAAATATTCTGTGACAACTGAAACAATCCAAAATAATGCATAAGGTATATGAACATAATTGGAGAGATGCTTTAAATCAGAAAATTTCCTTTTTACCTATTCTGTCTGTATTAATTAGGCACTTTAAATTTGGAACTAGATAACTAAGCATAAAGCAGATCTGCTATTTTTAATTTACTTTTCAGCAAACTCTAGGTTAAAGAACTATGTTCATTGATTCATGCTGGTGATCAATGGAATAAAACTAACATTTTGCATGACTCAAATTTTAATTCTTATGTATAAATGTCAAGTTCTAACTAAGTCTATATTAATTTTTGATTTTATGATTTACCTTGTATGCTAACTTTAATTCTCTGTGATTTTACAACAAGACTGAACATTATTATTAAAAGAAAATTAGAAATATATTCAATAATCAAATGTGTGTTATATGAATATAATATAGGTGGGTATACATGCATGTCTTTTTAAATGGTTCCTGGTTTTCCTACCTTAGCAGAATGGAACAGACATTTTGGATTTGCACATAATTTCTGCTTGCCTTAATCAGTATTGTGCAGTCATTAAATGAATGACTGTAGCCACTATTTTTTTATTTTTAAATATATTTTCATTAATTTCAGAGAGGAAGGAAGAGGGAGAGAGAGATATCCACGCTGAAAGAGAATCATTGATCGGCTGCCTCCTGCATGCCCTCTACTGGGGATAGAGTCCACAACCAGGGCATGTGCCCTTTAGTCCACAGGCTGATGCTCTATCCACTGAGCCACTGGCCAGGGCGTACAGCCATTATTAATGGAATTTCAATCTGTTTCAGGTGTTGTATTACAGTTTTACACACACACACACACACACACACACACACACACACACACACACACACAAATATTCCATAGAAACCAGCAATTAAAAAAATTGGGAAGGAGGGGTGGTGTTATTTTTTATGATTCTATTTATGTCATTTCTCATTCTTGTGACATTTTTATTTTTTATCTAGTATGTACTTCTATCTCTGAATAAACTCAACAGAATAGTGATTAACAAATATTTTAACCTTTCTCCCAAAGCTCATTAACTTTAGAAGATAGAGACTACCAATCCTTCTTTCACGTGGCTTTCTGATACAAATAGGAATATGCTTAATTATTGAATGGAAACTTCAATAATTAAGACTGTATTATGCAATGAGTTACATAAACTAAGATAATAAATATGTCAGGAATCTCAATTATTCTAGTAATTTTTCTCAGATATTCTAAATGCATTAACTGCTTTAAAAGAATAGCTCAAACACAAGCCTTCAGAACTGATATGACTTAAAGCATCTGACAACTTGTAAGATTGTTCCTAATTTAAAGTCATATTTTAAATATCTTATCACATGGTAGAATTCTGTGGTCTTTCATTGGGACATTCAGCATTCTGAAGAAGCCATAGTAACACAATATCTGGTGAGAGTTTACACTTATTTTGGGACATACAAAGCAATCAGCCTCAGCAAGAAATAAGAATTCTTGACCTTCTTTCTAGAACTATATTCTGCCACTCCATAAGCACTCTTATAAATCCCCTTGTCCAATGAACCCAGTGCTAGGTACTTTGGGAATACAAAATGGGGAACACCTATATAATTCATCTATACTCATGACAGTGCTAAAGAGGCTTACAACCCAGTAGATTTTAAATTAGGACTATCAGATAATTTTCATGTTGACTTTTAATTTACTAAAAATTTTAAGTATTCATATCCTAAGTATACAGACAACAAAAATTAGTTGCTATTCTAAATTGGGCTATTTGTGATGGAAATTTAGGAAAAGCAATCACAATATTTCAGTATACTGGTATGTGTTGCATCTAAAGAATTCACCCAATAGTTGAACTAGAACTTAAACCAGACTATGGAACAATAGAGAGCAACCTCTCAACCCCTACCCAGTTCTAAAAGAAAAAAAAAAAGAAAAGAAAAAAATTCACCTCTCACAAGATTAAAAAATAAATTATTATAATTTTTTATCTCTAATAAAATGATGTTTTAAAATTTAGGTTTAGAATAAGTAATCTTTAAGATTGGTCATTTACCTATTTTATTTCTTTTTTTGATGTCAAGCTAAGTGGCCATTGATAGACAAAGAGAGAAAAAAGTTTATTCCTCAGCCATAAACTAGAATGAAATCTTGCCATTTGCATCAACACAAATGGACCTAGAGAATATTATGCTAAGTGAAATAAACCAGACAGAGAAAGACAAATACCATGTGATTCAACTTATATATGGACTCTAAAAAAAAAATTACCTATGCAAAGTCATTTATCAAAAATGTTAAGAAAAATAAAATAAATACTATACTTTTACTCCTGCACAAACTCCAACAATACTTTCAAAAGTTATTAAGAATGGATTATATGCTTCCCCTTTTTAGTACTTACTATATTATTCTGCAGGTGCTAGGAAGACAGAATCGTGGTGTTCAATTGTACCTAGTAGATGGTAAGATACATAGTGGGTGTTCAAGAAATTTGATAGAGTGAATTGATGAATATATCATCTATTCTTCATATCATTGAACATAATTTAGTAAAGTGCCATGATTTATCTCACAGAAGAACTAACTGGCCTTGAAAGACTTATGCCTAATCAAAGATGCAGATTAATAAAAGCAAATATTCAAAATACTTTGAAATAGTTGCCTGAAAATACAAACCATGAATATTTAACCTTCATTTTAAGATTTGAAGATCTTCACTATCTTTTTAAAAAATATGTTTTTATTCATTTCAGAGAGAGGAAGGAAGAAGGAGAGAGGGACAGAAACATAAATGATGACAGAGAATCACTGATCTGCTTGCTCCTACATGTCACCTACTGGGGGATTGAGCCTACAACTTGGGCACGTGCCCTGACCAGGAATTGAACCATGGCCCTTCTGGTTCATGGATTGATTCAACCACTGAGCAACACTAACTGGGCAATCACCCAATATCTTCTAGTTGATTTTCAAAAATTCAAAATATTACTGAACCAGAAAAAAAAAAACACAAAAGTTTAATTTACACATTTTACAAATCAATTGCAAATCTTACGTTCGAGAATGACTCAAAGAGGTCTGCAGATTCCGGTTCTTCATTTGTGAAACCAAAACTGTTCTTACCCTTCACAAGTGGGTAATTGGCTATGCACAATTGCTCCACAAATGTGCAGCCAGAACAACCCGATGCAGCCATTTGCTTTACATTTGGCAGAAGAGTGTTGTGTTAGCAAGAGGTCCCTGTGTTGTGTTTAGTGCTCTAGTGAGGGCTTTCCCCTCCTCCAGCACCCTTTTAATGTTACACCATAAATATCTACAAGTGAGGATTTATAATAGAGGTGGCTTTCCTGCTGATGCCTCCAAGCTGCTTCAGAATGTATCCCACACTTATATGTTGCTAAGCTGAAGTTTAGGGTGGCTTGGAAAATGGAGATAATAATAGCACCTATTCCATGTGTTGATCAAGGATCCAATGAGATGGTATATTTAAAGTGCTTAACAAAGTTCCCACATTGAAGTACTCAAAAATGTTTGCTATTAATAAAAATAACATTAATTTAATATTATTTTAAACATTATTTTCTGAAATTAATTTTTTTTTCTGGGCAAAATATTCAGTGTTCTTAATCACATACAAAATTCCGGTTCATGCTTCACTAACATTAAGAAACACATAGAAGGGCACAGGTAGAGGCACGGATAAAGATTCCAATTAAAATGATAATGCTTTCACAACTAATTTTCAGGCTTTAATGGTCCAATGAAATAGATGCCTTTGAAGGCAAGAGTGCCTCAGAAGCTTTAAGACACGAGCCCTGGCCAAATGCAATGAATATAGAAACTGCACACTGAGCTTTTAAAAACAAACTGTATATATCACCGCAGTACGTTTAATGACTGCACAAAATTGCAACATGTTCCAGAGAACTCAAATAACACCTATTATTTAGAAAGAGAGTGCTAGAGTTGAATACTTAGCTAAGGAAAACAAATAAAATAAGAATCCTAGTGTCAAATCCCAGCTTTTTCTCTCCAAATGAAAAAAGAAAATGACTACTTGGCTTTGTTTTCAAGTATACAAAGTCCAGTTGCCCAAATATTTGTTAGCAATAATTCACTAACAATACATATGTAGTATTTCCTTAAGGAAAATAATGAAGAGTGAAGAAAAAAATGAGTATGTTAGAAAACATACATTTCTACAGTTGTTGGTTCCCCTCCCCCCTTTTTATTCTTAAGGGGGAATAATTTAGATGGGCTCTAGAATTCTCTTTCCAAATTATGCTTTCTGATACCTTGCTTGAAAACAAGTAGTATTAATCAAACAAAGGAAGGGCACCAGGGAAATCAGAAAGATGTAATGCAAGCAGTTAAAAGTGACATGACCTTCTGTAATGTCGCTCGTCACAGACTTATATGCCACACACTGGAGGAAAGTCTTGAAAGAACTGATTCTTGGTACTATTCCTTGAATGTAATACTAATAAAGATGACATTTTAAAAAACACACGTAGGCAGCCCCAAATGCAGCATGCCAGCTACATTACAGCCCCAAAGAATAAGCAGATAACATTATTTTAAAAAGCAAATTTCTCCTTTCCTAGTCCATATTTGCTGGACATTTGTCATTACCATATAAAATATAACATGTGGCTATACATTGAAAAAAAATCTATTTTCAAAATGGAACAAAATTGCATCTATAGGATCTATGTATTTTATATAGTTGTATGGCAGCTCTTTTGAACATTATGA